TCATGCAATTTGTCGAATTGAATTTTGTTGTTTTTTTCAGGATATCGCCGGTCAAGAACGATTCGGAAACATGACTCGAGTTTATTACAAAGAAGCTGTAGGTTGTTTTATCGTCTTTGATGTCACACGAGGATCAACGTTCGAAGCTGTTACCAAATGGAAAGCTGATTTGGATAATAAAGTCCAATTGCCTGATGGAAATCCTGTTCCATGTGTTTTACTCGCTAACAAAGTAACCGAAAAAGTTCGATTAGGCACATTTCATGTTGATTTTTCTTCGTAGTGCGACTTGGTTAAAGAAGGTTTGGTTAATGATGCTTCACAAATGGATGAATTTTGTCGAGAAAAAGGTTTCGCAAAATGGTTTGAAACATCTGCGAAAGAAAATATTAACATCGAAGCTTCGGCTCGATTTTTGATTAGCGAAGTAAAGTTTTTCTTATGTAGATTTTCATTTCATCTTTAGTTTCTCTTTTAAGATTATGGAACATACGGAACAACTACAACCACGTGTTCCGGGTCAAGCCACGCGTAATAATACAATAACAGTTGTTGATAAACAATCCAAGAAAGAACAGAGCGGACGAAAATGTTGCGGTGGTGCTAGTGGCGATTCTCAAGACACATGAAATTCTTTATTATTATTCACAGTTTTGATTTTGTATTGTAAAACTCTATGAAATAAAAGTTCCTTTGTAACATGGATTCTTATTTTTCGTTTTTATGAATAATTCCTATAAACAATCAGCATTTATTCTCGATACATCGATCAATTATATGAAATATAGAACAGAAACGTTCTCTGACTCAAATGCGCAGCATTTCAAAGATGCTTCTTATGTCAGACTCATTTACCACCTTTCATGTTGAACTCTTGGATGCTGATGCATGGAGTTTTGGATATTCTACTGTGTTATGGAAGTGTTTTAATTTAGCGATGTGGAAAAGTTGAAAAACTAGCTCAATTTTCACCAGTGGCAGTGATAATACTTCTAATTACAATGAACAAATTGTGCCGTTATGATGAAAGCACATGTGTGCATATTTCCTTTAATTAAACTAATTACTGTCAAAAAGAAAAATAAACACACAACAGAAGATATTCGATTGTACAAAGATTTGTTCATTTTATGTTGATGAAGAACACGTTTCTGATTGGTNGTGGAAAAGTTGAAAAACTAGCTCAATTTTCACCAGTGGCAGTGATAATACTTCTAATTACAATGAACAAATTGTGCCGTTATGATGAAAGCACATGTGTGCATATTTCCTTTAATTAAACTAATTACTGTCAAAAAGAAAAATAAGAACACAACAGAAGATATTCGATTGTACAAAGATTTGCTCATTTTATGTTGATGAAGAACACGTTTCTGATTGGTGAAAAGTCGTTTGATTATCGTTGGATAAGATATGACTTCGACGATATTTTGCTCGAGCATTTTGGAACCAGACTTGAAGAACACGTTTGGGTAAATTCGTTTTTTCCGAAAGATTCTTTAGATCTTTTGCATCTAAATACGAAAATGTAGTTTGGAATTTACTTATTCAGAAATATTCACCTGGATTATGATTAATGTTGAAATATGATCGCATGAAGCGTAATTGGTGATGCTTAAAACTGGTTCGAAGACGTTTTTGCTTTCCATAATATGATTTATCCGATTGATTGTCATCGGACTCAACAAAATACGATGAGCATGAAAAGGTTTCATACTGAAACTTTTTCGATTTATACGTTTCACTCGGTGATGTTTGATAACCTGAATCATCATGAAACTTCGAACTATTTTGTTCGAGAAAATGATCTCGACAATATATCATATTCTCTCGAATCCCAAATTCATCGCCTAGAACGACATTTCTCTCATCGAAATTATTGTTCCACAACGAAAATCTTACCTGAGTGTAGATGCATATCACACACTATGCACGTCAAACAATCGATATGAAAAACGTATTGTTCAGCACGAAGAATGGTATCATCAGGTTGAATCAAATGTTGACATCGTGCACAGGTTTGAGACGAAGACTTTCTCATATTGATACACTTCATATAATCATCTTTACAAAGAATTTGCCCCTGTTTAACAAAACAAGTTTGTTCTTCTTCAAGCCCTAGTCCACAAATAAAGCATTTCAAGCAAGATAAATGCCAAGTTTGGTCAGCAATCATTAAATAATACGGATCATCGATGGAGAGATTACAGCTGACGCACAGTCGATCCAATGTTGGCATTCTAGGAAATAGAAAATAAAATGAGAAAACGATATCTTTTTATCAGAAATGACGGTTGTTGCTCAGACGAAGTGTCAAGTGATGCTCGTTGGACACCGGTTGCTATTTGTCGTTAACTTTATTCGTATCTGAACATTATCAGAGATTATCTTTTTCTTTAATAAGAAACGAAGAAAGATATTGCTTATCGACGGAAAATAACCGAAACGAATTTTTGCTTTTCTTGAGAAAGATGACAGCAAATAGAGACATGTGCATATCGAATTAAGTCACATCATCGTGTCATTTAGCAGCAATATAAAGTTATGGATCGTATTTTTCATTTTGTTCTCAGCAGGGATCTATGAACGAGATGTGACACTGCCGATATCGTTCTATATGACCAACGACAAATGTTGGAAAAGGAGAAAAATCAAGTATTTTCAACCAATCGGAATGCTTTTCTATTTTTTTAAATAATCTTTCAACTTGTACAACAAACATTCGAGCACTTTGAAATATGTTTCTAAGATGAGTCATTGTACGTAAAGTTCCCTCAACAACGTTTCTTTTCTGTTAGAAAGGTTCGTTTAAGATCACGATCTCGAACGTCCACAAACTCGTACCTCTAATGAATCATAAAAGTTCATATAGTTAAATGATCTATTAAATCAATCTGTCGTTCTCCATAAGTTTATTCCGAACATAGAAAGGATTTGGATAAGAATATAGAAAACACATTCAAATTTGTGCTGAGTCACATGTCTCATTCTATTCATACCTAAAGCACGCCCACTTGAAATTGATGACTCATGAGATAATTTACATGGGACAGAGCTTTCTTTCTCTATGACCTATTCATAGACGGATAGATATCTCAAAAGCAGAACTTTCATTTATTTGCTGAAACCATTTGGAAAACGAACAGAACGAAATCTTGTACTGACAAAGAACATCATTTTACAAGTATGAAAATCAAAGTTCAACACAAGCGAAACGGTCAGGTTAAATGAAGAAGAGACTTCATCAAAGGATTCATATAAGCCGAATCGACTTTACTTTTGATGTACTGATGAAAGTCTCGCAATATTCTTTGAATTTTTAAGAATTGTTCGATAAAATGGGTTATTTTCATAGCAACGGCTTCAAATGATGATTGTTGTAATAAATAACGAAATAATAAATCGATATATTTCGATTGAGCTCTATATACGCAATACTCATCAATTAAATTCGGTTCTGTATCGTCATCAGCTGATAAACCTTTAGAAAATATTGCAATGACCATCAATAGTTGAACAACAATTGGATCTTTGTTAACGAGATCGACAAGGGAATGAAGAATCGAGATGAGCATTCGATTAAGCTCGTACCCATAACAAAGAATGAAGAGACTCTTACAATGTTGAGCAAATGCTTCGTCACTAGGTGAAATTCCATCATGTGTATCAACATCATAACATAATTCCCTTGCCGTATCGAAGTTTAATGAATGACGTACGAACATTGCCAGTGATAAATTATACTTGACGAGGATGACACGGTCTCGTTCGTCAAGTTCGTCAAATTCCGGAATGGCTCGTACGAAATTAATCAATCTGATGGCCATGTGATTGTGTATGTCCAAAGTATTCATATATGCGGCCATTTTATCAGGTGCTAATTCGAATGATATGACCGACGATGCCGATGGAACGGATTGAGATGCCGAAAAGTAAGCATTTTGAATTTGTGATATACATGACCAATCGGATTCGCTTAATGTTTGTGTTGACGGTGATGGATGATGAGTTTGGACACTTGTAGGCTAAGTTAGAATTAACCAGATAAATGAGATGATGTGTTTTTCGGAAGACATCTATGTGTACCTTTTCAGATGTTGGACTTACGATTGGTGTGAGAGATTTAAAAGAGTCCGTTGTTACTGAAGGATTGTCATTTCGTAATCGACGATTTTCCTCCAGATGCTTTTGTTTGGACATTTTTTGTTCGGGAGTTAAGATGTAATCTTTTCGCATACCTATTCGAACGAATAGTGATGGGAAACACTATGTGAGAATGCATCATTGTCTACCTTGTTCGAAACATTTCAATAATCGACAGCGTTGGCATTTATGTTTCATATCATGTCGAATTTCGCATTGGATTTCAGTCAACAGACTTTTACTCCTTAAGCATTTGGTTTTTTCCTGAAAATTGTATACAAAAACTTGTATTTCAAGAGATCAGAGATCTACTTACAATTGATTGTAAAGCATTGCGACGAAAGAATGCTAAAGATACAATAATAAGCATTTCTTGATAATACAAATCATTCAAACCTTTGCAAGATTCGCAGGTAATTTGTCCGAAATTGTATCCAATCGCATGTCCACTGCAAACTACACATGTTAAGTCAGCTTTCCGTTTCTTTATCGTCGCATTTTGCGTGGCGTCGGAAAATGTATCTTGTTCCTAGAATAATAAATCTTTCGTCAGTACCGAGATAAAATTCTGCGTACCGAGAATGAAAACGATCGTTTCTTATTCGTAACGGAATCTTCACATCCATTCATTGAACTTTTTTTATTCCAGTCGAAGATAAATGTTTCGACATTCGATGGATCGAGATACGAGAGAATTTTATCGTTATCATGATCATCTATTGATGTGATAATGACAACCTGTGTTGAACTCTTATTGCCTTTTTCGTCCTTATCAGTTTCGATACTTGCCATAATGAAACACGATCAACCCAAAACACCTTAGTACGTTTCTGCCTCTCGAACGTCTTGTAACGAATAAAATGCATCGTCACTATGAGAATAAACAGGCCACTAGAAAGGCCTTCATCCGTAAACATCACCCGTTATTTTTTTTTTCTCTTTCCTTTCGC